GACAATGTCACTGCACACAGCGCAATGTGACCTTTTCTATGTATTCCCTTATATACAACAGCACAGTATTCATTCCCACGCCACAAAAATGTAAACAGTCATTTACAGTGTATCAGATCAGGCGGAAATTGGCCAGCAATATATAGACAGGCACACAAAGGGTTAGCGGCTTCCCGTAAAGGGGATTGCAGTCAAGGAATTTAGTGTTTGGTATTAGGCCTGTTTGCTCAGCTCTTAATTGCGCAATAGCTGTTTGTTCTTTTTGTTTTAACAAAATGTTGTCATTCGACCCAGTTGGTCAGGTTTAAAGCTTAATACTGACAAAACTTTCAGCAAGTTAAAGTAACATTAAACAAAGACGTTAAATCTTAAAATGCATTCAAGTACCCCATTAACCAAAATGTAGCTTATTTATGCACCATTTAACTGTAGATCCTCAAATCATCTCTCAATTTGTGCCGACACTGTCCTTCCTCCTGCAGGCTACTTTTGTTCCCCATGGTCCCTGTGTGTGTTGTAAAGTAGCCATCGCCCCAAGCTTGCTCCCATGATAGACTACAATCTCACGTTTAGTTTACTAATTTGTACTGAGATTGTAGTTCATCACTGAAGCGATGTAAAGGGCATGTGTGTTGAGTTGGGCATGTGGGTCAGGAGGGGGAACCACCTCTTGAAGGCAGTGACTGCATACTCACTGCCTTCTCCCTTTCGTGGCTAGCCAGGCTGCACCCAGGGAATGGATTCTGGGGTTCCCCTCAGAATCCATATCCTGGATAAGTGTATGGACTCTGAGGGGGACCCCAGGCCTTTGTTTTTTAAAGGGGCAGTTTACATGCAAAAAAAAAAGCCTTCCCCTTTCCCACAAATTAAAGGTCCCCAGGAATTTTTGTGTTTGTATGTTTTTAAGGTAAACACATTTTTAGTGCATATAACCACAATATAATTCCAAATTTGTGTTAAAATATAAAAGATGAAGTTGCATAGAATAAATACTGTAGATACCAAACATGTCAAACCTGAAATTGCATCCATGAAATGTTGAAAAACAATAGTACCCAAAATTAAGTTTTAAAAGTCTTTACAGTTTATCAGTTTAGAGTTAGTAGTTATAACTAACATGGTGGTGTAATTGCCAATTCTGTATTTGAATGCATTTTTTACTTTTATGCTTAAGTGACAGCACATTGGAGGTGACAGGTTCTCTTTAAGGAGACATTAGGGGTCTTTTAGACCCCTAATGTCACCTGTGAACTTTACTGAGGCTAATCAAGCACAGATTGTGCTTCATTACCTTCATGCCTGGCCATGATTGCCAGGGAATAACAGCGCAAAAAGTGACAAAATCCTTATGCCTTTAGACTTCATTCACTGCAGGGATGATTGTCTTCCGCTCTCCCCGCTGATACCTGCCATGTGTTTCCTGGGCACCCAGGAGGAGCAGCAGACATATATTGTTGGGGGAGGGGCCAAACAGGAGGGCCGCGTGTACTAAGACCTGTGGAAGTCATTGGCCAGCTTTACAGATGGCCAAATCACTTCCATTAGAAAGCCATCAGCCGGCTTTACAAATGTATACAAATCCATGGTTGCTATAGCAACTGTGAGTCTGTTTACAGGGCTATGCTGCAACCACAAGCCTTGTGGTGGGGGCAGTTAAAGGGTTAAGCTGCATTAAAAGACCCTCTCCCCGCTGAAGATCAGTTTTTTTACATTTACAAACATTGATTTGGAACATGTCCTGCATGGCAGTGCCCAGCTACCCATGCCCTATTTTTAACAAAAAATTGCAAATTGCCTCGAAAGAGACCAGAAAAATATTAGCAAGAGGCCAGCTCTCATTGACATCAATAGGGTTCAGTGCTATGTTCAGGTCAATGTTCACATCATTAATGTCCACTATTACAGCACAATTTATTCACAGCTTCGTTGTGGCCTGGAAAATTCTTAGTTGTTTCAATTAATGGTCCCCGGGGAGACACACGAGGACCTCTGACCTGAGCACAGCCCAGCTCCAGTGACCAGTCTGTTCCTAAATACAAGGGCAGCCCAGTCTGCTGGTGTAAGGCAGAAAAATTTGAGACTCTTCTGAGGAGTATAAATTCCTATACTTGTCTGCACCATCTAGGGGTGCTAGTGCTGGTAGTGTTTATAGATGAACCCCTAAGTGCTGTTCATTTTATTCCACATTGGCCCACCTGGGAATTCTGCTAACCTAGCTGACCAGAGATTATTTCTGTGCAAGCTGTGAGGATATTACTGCACAAGCCTGCCACGATGTGGGGTTATTACTGGGCAAGCCTGCTACAATGTGGGGTTATTACTGTGCAAGCCTGCTACGATGTGGGGTTATTACTGGGCAAGCCTGCTACAATGTGGGGTTATTACTGTGCAAGCCTGCTACGATGTGGGGTTATTACTGGGCAAGCCTGCTACAATGTGGGGTTATTACTGTGCAAGCCTGCTACGATGTGGGGTTATTACTGGGCAAGCCTGCTACAATGTGGGGTTATTACTGTGCAAGCCTGCTACGATGTGGGGTTATTACTGGGCAAGCCTGCTACAATGTGGAGTTATTACTGGGCAAGCCTGCTACAATGTGGGGTTATTACTGTGCAAGCCTGCTACGATGTGAGGGGTTTTTACTGTGCAAGACTGCTACACTGTGGGGTTATCATTACTGTGCAGTATCAGTTTCCACCCCACTTTTCTACTCCCATTGTGGGTGACAGCACAGCTAAACCTTCACAATTGTTTCACACATCATTCTTTCTAATAATATCCAATTTATGTATTTTTTTTATTCATTTGTTTCAGGTATTTCTCCAGCCCCCACAATTCACACAGCGGTTTACCCCAAAACCCTTGCAAAACTGTACAGCTACATGGTGGGGTCAACAGTTCTATAGAGACACAGAAATTACCTTTAATCATCTGTAGAGATTTGTTACAATGCTTTATTACAATACAATGTGAGCAATCTCTACACTCTACAGTGTAAATCTTTGACAGATGTGAGTGCTTATAGTGGCTCCGTCTACAATTAGCCAGTTAAAGATAACAGTGGAAAGTAATGCAGAACTGCTTGTAAAAATCGTATTATGAATATCAAACAATTGTGTAGCTCAGATCTCTCAAGTTTACATGGTGATTGTATTACAGCTACATGATAATTGTTTTTTAATGGGCTATGTACATCACAGCAAATTCTTCTGAAAATTGAAGTTAAACTGGAATTTTCTATAAAGTAGAGTGCTATTAACAGGTCACTTACATATGAGCTGGGTCACCTTATTCTCCAGACTAAACATTTTGTTTATAAAAACCTCACAAAGATTCTAACTCTTTCCAACTCCATCTAAAGCAATCATCTAGCGTTGGACTTTAACTCTCTGGCATCTACCAAATACTGAAGTATCACTTTTCGGGTGGAGTGGTTTTTTTACAGTTACAAAAGCTGTTTTTTTTTTCCTATTGTTGCTTCTCTTTCTGGAACATAAAGGCCAACTGTGTGTTTTCTTGGCTGAAGATAAGGGTGACAAAGAGGATGGTAAGATATTTCTTCACTCTGGAGAAAGACAAACAAGATCTAGTCTGTTGCCATCAGTCACTGGTGGGGACAAACAAAGAGGCTGGCTATAACCTGGTCAGAAAAACATGAAGCTTGGGGGCAAAGTATCAGTATAGGGAGGCCATTCTAACGGAGGAGCTCGACAGTGTTACACCTAGCAGGCACCTGCTCCAGCCTACAATTGGCATTATAGGTCACCCATGCTGAATTGTCAACCGTCTTATCTCCCTCTGCGATGATCCTGCTACAATTTGCCTTTCTCATCGCCCTGTGTGGAAGGAGCCAAAGCCAAGAGCAAACGTAAGGCAAAATTTTACTATAGGCTATTAGTCTCTTTGTTTAGGGTCCACATTAACATTGCAAGCGCTTAGCCATAGCAGACACAAATGTCAGGGGTATCTACCCATCTATTATGGATATTCTTTAATAGGTTAGGAATATTTATCCATAGGTTAGAGGTATCCCACCACCGTGGTGTGCCAGGGTGTTATTGGGGGTAGCAGATGTATATTATTTGCATGTACTGTTACAGTAGGTGTAGTAGGTAAATGGAGGTTTAGTGAAATGTTATCAGTATGCTAAGGTCTTTTAAAGCCTCAGGTCTCCCCATCAATTGCTTTACAGTGCTCCCCACTTGGTGGTCCTATGGCAGTACAAAAACTCTGCAATGATCCTTTTTCTGCATGCTAAACAAGTTTATTTTTCGAATGATATCTTCCCAGGTCTGTCCATGCCAAATTAGGTTTAAAAAATTGTTTCGTAAATTTTTTTTTCTCATTGTTGATTTTATATAACTTTGCAAAACATAGGGACACCATTAAGCAGCAACATTCTATTTTACCTATTACAAATATTTTTTTAGTACACTTGATCATACAAACAAACTAACAAACTAGATACTTTGAAAAACAAACATTTCCTGGTACAAAACTTTAGGGCTTGTTCACACCAAATCCAGTGCGTTCCAGCACAGTTAGTGGCTGGAACACACTGGATCGCATAGAGCAAGCATCTCTGTGTTCTGGGGCAGGAGGGGGTGTGCATACACTATTTTTTGCGATCGCACCGTAGGTTTGCTGTGATCGCACTGCAGGGCAGGAGGCGTGGCTGCGTTGACATTGACTTGAATGCACCACCATGCCCCCTCCTGCCCCAGAACACATGGATGCTTTCTCTATGCGATCCAGTGCATTCCAGCCACTAAACGTGCTGGAACGCATTGGATTGTCAGGGTACCCTGCACAGGCGTTCTCACACCACATGCAGGTACCCACACAGGATGACCAAATTAATATGCCCACACAGGATAGGGTTATATGCACAGTTTATTGGTTCCACATCAACAAAACTACAAACCCAACACAAAGGGGTAACAGGCCTGCAGATGTACAGCAGGCCTCGGGATACCAGAAGAGTGGTCAGGTACAAGCCGAGTCGTTAACAGGAGGGCAGCGCGGTACAGGAACAGGATTGATGAAGAGTTGTCAGGTGCAAGCCGGGTCAACAACAGGAGGGCAGCGCGGTACAGGATTCAACAGAGAGTGGTCGGGTAACATGCCAGGTCGGTGACAGGTTTTCAGATAGGGCGCAAGGTTCAGGACATGGGCATCAGTCAGGTTAGCAACACAATACTGACCCAGCTTCCTGACTGCAGGGAGGGCCTAAATACCCTCCCAGGAAGCACCAGGTGATGGGATGAGCAGTCACAGCTGGGGCACACCCGCAGGTGAGTACCGGAGCTGCAGGTTCCTTACAGTTCCTGGCTGCTGGAGACACCCGCAGGCGAGCACAGGAACTGCAGGACCCGGCTCCAGCGCCACCTGGGGGTGCTCTGGATCCTGACATGGATTTGGTGTGAACAAGCCCTTAGACCTCTCCATGGAATTTCGGAACTGCTTTGCAGATTCTGTACAGAGGATATGTGATTGTTTCCCCATGCAGGCGCCGCATTTCGAAAATTAATTTAGGTTAAAATTATTATGTAAATACGCAGACAGTGCTTGTCGTGAGACTGGTCCTCTCAGCAATTTTGGTACAGGATTCTAGTTCAGGCTGGTTTGGGTTTGTGCAGTGTAGTAACCAGGGACTTTATTACAGTGTCACAGGCTGTGCAAGGAATTGACAGGGGCAGCACCGGATGTTCCCTGGTCTGTTCCCATTCACCATCCTGACACTGTGTACCATCGTTTGGGCCTTCAAGGGGAGTCGGGGACCCAAAAAACAACGGGAGGGGGTGCAGGAGGAGGTGGTGGCACAACAGTAGACTAGTACAAGTGATCTGGGTGGCTGTAGTTTTAGCAGCTGGCCCCGCCTGAAGTCATTGGTTGCAAGGAAGCCAGTGGCCCTAGCAACCAATGACTGAAGCAAGGATGGACTTGCGCTGGAGTAAGGCTGGCAGTGGAAACACTGGTCTTGAGTGCCGGTGTATCCACTGTCAGCCAGCCATAACCCAGCGCAGGTCAGCAACCATGGTCTGGATAGAACCGCCATTTGGTCCGTGTTCGGACCGTGGTCTGCCATTAAGTGATGGCTGTTCTAGTGTTATTACTTACAATTCTCATCCCATTCATTCTTATGGCCCCTGTTTACACCTGAGTATTTGTCGCAATAAGCAAAATGCCTGTCACTGGAAAAGGTATATGAGCTTTTTTTTGGCAGATTACAGCTCGTTTTGTCCCCATAAAGTCAATATAAAACACTTGGAAACCCTGTTTTGCATGCATTTTGCCCATTTACATCAATGTGACGCAATCTGCTCATAAAAACGTGTGACAATGCAACTGCATAAAAACGAACAAACGTGCAGCACAAATGCGCATTTTTTACGCGCGAAAACACTGTTGCTTATGCGTGAATCAGGCCTTAAAGTGTTCAAACCATTCCATTGACAAAGGGGCCAGCTCAATGACATTCCTCTCTCAGCTTATTAAATTGCACAGGAGAGCTGATGGTTGAGGACCTGAGCCTTATCTAAGATAAAATATGTTGTGCTGAGATGGACTGGTTGTTGCCACACACATTTATTTAGCTTTATAGGTCGCAGCATGTTCTACAACCAGGGCCGTCTTTAACGCGGGGCAAAGAGGGCGCTTGCCCCGGGCCCATTCATGGCTGTGGGGCCCAAAGCAGCTGCCCCTTGAGCCCGCTGCCAGCAGAAACTTGCCGATCGGATCGCCCGCGTAGCGCAGGGATCGGCAAGGTGTCCGTACCGCCGCGGTTGTACCGTAGAATCAGCACAGGAAAATCAAACCTTCCTGCACGTGGGCAGGAAGGTACCAAAACATCACATTAGATGGGGGGGGTTGGGACGTACCAACTGTTCCCTACGACTCGTACGGAACAGTTGGTAAATCCCAAACTCCCCATCCAATGTGATGTTTTGGTACCTTCCTGTTACCCTGGTGAGGCCCCCACAGAGCCCTGGTTTAGCCAGGCCTCTGCGGGGTCTCACCAGGGCTCTGTGGGGATCTCACCAGCCCTGGTTAAACCCCACAGAGCCCTGTTGGGACCCTACCCTACAAAGTCCTGATGAGACCCTATATAGCTCTGAAGGGCTCTTTGGGATTTCACCAGGGCTCTTTGGGCTCTCACCAGGGCCCTGTGGGGTCTAACCAAGCTGGTTAGACCAAACTGGTTAGACCCTACAGAGCCCTTGCAAGACCCTACAGAGCCATGGTGAGACCCTACAGAGCCATGGTGAGACCCTACAGAGCCCTGGCTTAACAAAGGCTCTGTGGGGTTTTACCTGGAGGGGAAAAGAATTTCCGGGGGGGGGGGTCGGCAAGAAAATGTTTGCCCAGGGTCCGATCAGTATTAAAGACGGGCCTGTCTACAACAACCAGTTCATTCCAGCAAAGATCATAACAGACAAGGGGTCAAATATCATCAACAGCCCACGGCTCTCCTGTAAAAGTTAATGAGCTGAGGACCGTAAGTTGAAGACAAGCCACTTGATAGTAATTAGAATAAGCTTATCTCTTCCTGGACAGCTTCTTCAGCACACTGGTAGGCTCATAGTTACGCTCCTAATTCTCTTAGTTTACATGCATATTATTCTCTTCTCTCCGCAGGTACCTGGTGACTGGGCCCCGGCTATGGAGAATAGGGGCGCAGGAAACTGTGGTCATTCAGGCTTTTGGACAAAAGGAAAATTTCCCTATAAAAATTTCATTGCTGAGTTTCCCAGATAAGAGGACCACATATGCAGTGCAGAGCCTAGATCTGACTCCAGCCAACAACTTTCAAGGGGCAGCCAGCCTCCGGGTATGTGTGGGCTCTGTTTTTGTTATTAAAATGGAAAATTCTACATAAACTTGCTCAGCTGATATAAACTGACTTAGCAGACACAGCTGGACTGCTGATTAACACAAATTTAAGTCCCAGCATTTATCTCGTTAAAGGTGGCCATACATTGTACAACCATCGCAAGACCTTAGTCTTGTGATGGTTGTAAAGGGATTAAAAAAACGTACGATCTGCCCATCTTGGACGGGTAGATCGCACTCTCGATCATCGCAAGCCACGCCCCCTGAGGGGTGGGCTTGCGATGACTGTAATGAGGGGCGGGCTTACGCTGACTGCAAATGGGCAGTGGGCACGTGCGCACACCGGCCCGTTCGGCAGTTGTCGAACCAGCAGGCCACCAACTCGCCGAGAATCGTACGATTCCCGGCGGGTTTTCAAACATGCTGGTTCGATGGAAGACGTGCGACCGTACAGTAGAAACGGTCGCATGTCTTCCATACACTGCACGATCTCGTACGATCGCGGGATTTCCTGCGATTCTCGTACGAGAATCGTGCAGTGTATGGGCACCTTTAGTTTGGCAGCCCTGATGGTAGTTGCCAGTATCCCCATCTCCTGAATGGCTTTAAATTGGTTATTATACAGCCAGTTTGTTCCCTGGTTCCAGTGCTACCCTGTCTCTGGGCTCACTGCAGTCCCCACCTGCAATTTTCAACATAGGAGGCAGGTTATGCAGTATTGAATCATACAACAAATGTGTGCAACAGGAGAAAGACAAAAAGGAACAAAGCACAAAAAGACCCACCTGGTGTAGTATATTGAGAAGGCAGGTTTATTCAATCAAAATAATAATATTGGACTTACAGATGACCATAGAGAATGTGTGGCATGACAGAAAAGTCCAACCAAGGAAGAGAGTGTGGCAGTGTGCCATGGGCTCAGTCCAGACTGCAAGCAGAAATCGGACTCGTAGCATGCCGCTGATCTCAATCTCCAGAGGAAGGCACACAGTCTTTCTGCTAGAATACTCTGCCGACAATTTAATCACCACATACTGGGAATGTGTTTCGAGGCAGTCACCTTCAGCCTACCCTAGGGGCTACCTCAAGACCTAATGAAGGGAAAAGGTTTAGTAAACCAAAATACATTATAAAATCATCTAGATGTATAAGAAACTTATATGTATGAGACATAAACATATAAATACTATTCGAGTTTCACCAGTATATGTTTATACATTATAGGAGAACGGTACTTGCCTGACTGCATTGTGCAAAGTGTAAAGTTTGGTGGAGGGGGGATTATGGTTGTTTTTCAGGTTTTGGGCTTGGCCCCTTAGTTCCAGTGAAGGGAACTCTTAAGGCATCAGCATACCAACACATTTTGGACAATTTCATGCTCCCAACTTTGTGGGAACAGTTTGGGTATGGCCCCTTCCTGTTCCAACGTGACTGTGCACCAGTGCACAAAGCAAGGTCCATAAAGACATGGATGAGCGAGTTTGGGGTGGAGAAACTTGACTGGTCTGCACAGAGTCCTGACCTCAACCCGATAGAACAGCTTTGGGAAGAATAAGAGTGTAGACTGCGAGCCAGACCTTCTCGTCCAGCATCAGTACCTGACCTCACAAATGCGCTTCTGGAAGAATGGTCAAATATTCCCATAGACACACTCCTAAACCTTGTGGACGCCTTCCCAGAAGAGTTGAAGGCTCTTCTGAGAATATTATAGCGTCAATATTATAGCGTCAATATTGGTCCCATTGAGCAGACGAAGAACGTCGTTCTTCGTCTGCTCCGTGTGATTACTGAGACAGCGCCACCTGTCTAAGTAGTCACTAACTGCAGCTTCTGTGACAGAATTTCTGTCATAGAATTTCTGTCACAGAAGCCATGCGGTTGTATAAATAAACAGACAAAGATTACGGAACTCACTTTCTCAGTTCCAATGTTATGAAACTTATGACAACAAAATCAACATCCAAAAAAAGAAGGTTTACTCAAATCCGTATTGTGATGCAAAGTAAAGTGACAACAAACACTGAATTTAAGTGATCCCTTTTCCACGCTGCGCCTATGCTCACCAAAATGAACCCTTAGTGGCCTAATCATCCTGCCCACATGCCTCAGGCCACAAGGGCAAGTCAAACAATATACAACATACGGGGTAGAACAGGTGATAAAGTCCCAAATAGGGTAAACTTTGTCTGTCCCATCATGATAATTATTTGCCCATGGCGTATGTGCAAACAGGCCAAACATCTTTTCTTGCAACATTGGAAAATGCCTGAAAGAGATTTAAAAAAAAGTAGTAAGGATCTGTTTGCTAGGAATCCATGGATCACAAAGTTTACTAGCAGCAACGAGTTCCTTCACACATTTTGCCTTGCAAATAATAACCCTCAGTTCTTGGGGATGTTAAGGTCCCAACTTAGGGTCACTATGAAGAATACACCAATTTTTGCAAATGATGGAAAGGTCGGAACGACTACTACTATTAGACATTGTAGTATTCATTTTTTCAACATTGTATATCTTGCATATTTACTAACACATAGAGCTGGGCAATAGTAGTAGTGGAGAGCACTTTTTTTGTGTCATTTCTTTATAGAACACATGTATGCAACCCTACCCCAAAAAAACTATGAAAAGCCTGCAATATATTAGGTAACACTCAGATTATGGTAACCCAAGTGGATTTCTTGACTTTAGCCAAGCTGTCAGGTGAAAGTGTGAACAATTCGGTAATCATTGAGAATTTCCACCATACTACCTAAGGTGGCTAGAGATTCTCTTATTGCAAATCTCACTGTATATGTTGTCCTAACCAGAAAATATGCAAACATCTCTAAGCTTTTACAAATATCCACACAATTAAAAATATACTGTACAAAATTTGCTGAATTCCATTTCCTGTTTGCTACAGATTCTGCCAAACAAATTAGCACGGAAAGATGGCGAGATGCAGTACATCTACCTCCAAGCACAATCAAAGTCTTTCACCAAGGAGGAAAAAGTGCCAGTTACTTACCAGAATGGATTCTTATTCATCCAGACCGACAAAGTCGTCTACACGCCTGACCAATCCGGTAACATCACAAGATGCTCCTACTGGTTACAGGAAACCTTCTGACTATTCTGCCCTCTGACAGATTCTTATTGCACATGGGGCAACCACATTTACCTATAACATATGCAGGCTGTATTTTCTGCTTTATGATTACACTTTTTTGATCCACTTATCTAAATGCATTTTAGACTATATTTAGACTAACTGAAATTAAAAGACTGCATATGTGGTTAGCTCATTGCCTCTCAGCAGGCTGATTGTACAACTCACAATGTGACTTAAGCCGGGTAAACACGCTTCAAATTTTGTCCGGTTTTTGATAAACCGGACAAAATTCCATACTTGAGTGCTGCTGTTGGCACCTTTCCGACAGCCATTCCTCGATCAGCTGATCGAAGGAGCATGTCAGACAATTGTTGGTCAAACAGAGCTAGCAGCCAATGAGTTGCCAGCTCTGATCAGGTATTCTGACAGTGACTGGCGGTACATGCTATAGCAAGGCGCTTTGGGGTTCCATTAGGAAATAATAGTACCACAGTGCAAATAACATTGCTACATGTGATGTGGGATGATGCTTGGCATTTCACGCACTCCAACATATCCATATCAAAGGTGTGAACAAAGCCTTAGACTTGCATGCGCCTCCCTGCTGGCCACTGTGTGCTGCTGAATGTAGCTGTGCTGATCAGATGCATAATTGCGCTCTTATGTAATAAAGATTTAAAGATCACGCTCAGACATATGATAAAGAGCAAAATTAATTAAGGCAACGCTAATAGCTCTGAGAGGTGGGCCAATGACACTAACGATCAGGAGGAGATTGATGATAATTGATGTAGTTCAGACAGAAAATAAAGGCAGGTTCAAGATAGCTGCTGCAGCTTCAAATGGTTGTACTGTGAAAATGCAAGTTTGCAGGGAATTAAGAGTAACCAGTTGTGACACAGGACATTACTTGCTACAAATGTGACTAATAACTAGTTTTGATATCCACAGTTAAGATTCGGGTCTATTCCATGGATGAAGAGTTGAGACCAGCCCGCCGTCGAGTTACTCTCACGATCATGGTAAATAGTTATGTTATCTGTATCTAGCTTGTTGGCACATAAGCAATTGCAATATAACAGAACAAAAACACAAGGTAAATAGCACCAACATAGTGGCACAACAACGGCACAACACAGTGCAGGAGCACACAATACAATACAATACACATGCCGATCATAGGTCCCCCCCAGGCCCACACAGGAGCAGCATAACACATTAATACACTCCACACCACCAATCATCCACACAGGATGATGTTACCAAAACAACACCCTGGAGAGGCATGCTATCGGAAAAAGATCACCAACCCTTGGAATGGCAGGGAGCCCAGATGGATGAGCACCATAAGGCACCTATGACAGGAGAGTTCTAAAACGCAAACTCAAGAAGGCTAGGAACAAACACGTGTATGTAAGGGAACCTTACGCACATAAGCAACTTTAATGGACATTTAAAGCCTGTCAGTGTCCATCCAAAGTGGGGCTCAGAGAACCTGCGAGGGAAGACGGCGGTGACATTTGTCTGCACTTTCGTGCAGTTCTGTTATTGCTGTGTTGCAGTGTTGCCGTGAAGACAATGTCCGTGTCAAGGCTTTAATTAAACCTATTGCTAAAGCTTGTTTAACATTATAGCCAGCACTTTCAGTAAATGGATAGAGATAGATAGATAGATAGATAGATAGATAGATAGATAGATAGATAGATAGATAGATAGATAGATAGATAAAGTATGGAAAATGTGAAAAGGAGCCTAAAGCTTGGCCTACTAAGAAGGAGAATTCAAAATATTGCTATCAAATATTTATTTGAATAAAAACATTTTTTTAAATGTTATTATCTAGACCTATCCGTAATATAGAACAAACATCTGTACAAACCCACTATACAGTCCTTTTACAATATGTAATTACCCCCCTTCCTTCCCTAAACTGCGCCTAATGGAGCTTAAACCGCTTAAAGAAAGCTGCTGGAAGCTTAAAAAGTATTTTGTAAATGTTTGCTAGATCTGATGTTCTTTTGCATGTATAAAAATGTGATTAAGCAATGTCCATGTGTTCAGGCCTCACAGGGTAAAGGGAATAATGGAGTGTTAACATCCTTCTGATACATTCCCCTTAAAATATATCACATTTGTTATTTCTTGGCAGGACCCTCAGAAAGTGAAAATGGACACAGTGACACAAGACGATGCCACGGGTGTCATTTCATTCCCGGAATTCAAGATTCCGGCCAATCCCAGGTGATAATCTTCTTTTCATCTGCTCAGGAATATTCACAAAAAGAGATCTCATTTATTTTATATTGATATTTTCTTCAGGCCAGTAAATCTAAATAACAAATTACTTTTATGTAAATGTTTATCAGCTAGTGTACATAAATTCCTGTACCTGTGCAAACCTGAAGATATTAATCTTTGTATTTATATGTGCTATAATGCTAAAGCAGCCTACTGCTTTCTGCCTTTGGTTATTTTTGGTTAAAGGTTCCCATGCACATGATGATCTTGCTCTGAACTGTCTGATCAGCAGCAGATCAGAAAACAGTTGTCATTTAGGGCAGGTTATGGACATGTGGGCAAAATGAATCAAAAAGCCCCCCACTGAACCAGAAAATCCTTTTTAAAGGCTTTAATGTGGTTCAGTGGATGGCTTTTTGGGTCTTTCTTGCCCACCTCTCCATAACCTGATGGGTTATACTTTCCCTTAGCTAAATTAATCAAGCCGTTCAAGCAAGTTTGCAAATATAAGCTCTCCAGCTCTTATTTGCTGTTGCTGCCCCCTGAAACCCTCTGCCTGTGTTGCCAGTTTCTATGCTCTGAATTTTCTTTAAAAAGCAATGTGTAAATGTTGTTACTGTATATCAATGAAAACATCCCTGCCATCCCTGTATATGTGCACGCTCCCTCCCTTCAGCCTACTTCTAAAGCTGGTCATACAAATGTATGCGTTTCGGCTGGTTTTTGATGAGCTGCACAAAATTCATTCGGTGAGTGACCCTATCGCCACCCTTCCTTCTGGCATCAGAAAATCTAAGGAGCTAGATGGAAAATTTTGGGGTTAACAGTGGCGGCAGCAAATGAGCTGTCGTTGCTCTTCAGGTATTCTGACAGCGGCAGCCGTGCCCAAAGGAAGAGTCGTCCATCCATGCTGTTTAGAATGGATGCAGACATTTTTTATTTGTTGTTTTTGTTTAGCCCACAGGTTGAATGAAAAAAATACCACAGTGTATACCCAGCTTAAGTGGCCATCTGAGTCCTACCTGCCTCGAGCAGCATGCATTGCAGCTGGAATGCCCCAACACTACTTATGGTGTTCCTACAAACAGTAGTCCATTAGGGTGCACACAAGCTTGCCAATTTTGCTAACACATTGTAATATGACATTGTCTTTCTTATATACTGTGCACATACAGGTTTTGCTGCTCATAGGGTTCAAAGACTCCTATATGTAGCTGGTGGACGGGGTACTCAGTTATAGACAGAGTCTGGTCATTGCCTTCTTTAATTCCACTGAGATCTCACCACCATAATTCTGCCTCAGTTCTGTCCAATTTGAATTTTGGGTGTTTTGTACCAGACATAATTAGGGTTTAGTTTTTTTGGTTTTGGAAAGGGTAAACCCTTTGTAGAGTTTCTATTGCCCCCAGTGATGCTGCTGGGGATATTCACCGCTCTATTTGTTCTGGTGACCATTGACACTACAACAGAAAGTGAGGGGATGCCCAAACAATTTGAGTTGTCATGAGAGCAAGGAGTGAGGTAAAATCCGCCAATGGGAACACATGTTCAAATGACAACTGTCAAAAATTTTAATTTCTTTCACTTTGTAAAGATTTCATCTTATTTACGGGGGTCACATTTGGCAAAAAAAGGAACATAATGGGGCTTTTAACAAGGGATGCACCTATATATCGTCCGTCGAAACATATCCTCCGAAAATGGCACTTTTGGCATAATGCACTATCCAAAACTAAAAAAAGTGTTGGCTTTTCATATACTCTATTAAAAAAGTACATGACCTAATTTAACCTGCTGAAAATATTTGTTTTCCTGCACAGATATGGTTTGTGGACTATTGAAGCTACCTACGAATCCGACTTTGTAACCTCCAGTGCTGTGAAGTTCGAAGTAAAGGAATACGGTATTTTAGTGCTGAGCATCCTGTTAAAGTAGAACTCTACCATTGCATTCCAAAGAGATCATGACACTTCCCATGTACTGAAACATTGTATCTCTCATTCTGAGGTTACAGGGGTGGGGGATAAGCAGTCCAGGTTTCCTTGCATAAGCTATGTTTGCCCTAAAGTTAATCTGAGCTGCATTGTGCACGACTGTAAGTTACAGCCAGGTTAAGTGATATTGTGATGTGTCATCTGCACACCATATGGCGATTAGACGTGGTGCTCGAAGTGATAACGCGGATGGTGCTGTGTTTCCCAAGATCATGGAAGACCAGGATCACCAGCACTCAGCCAGAAGCATGGAATTTAATGAAATAATATGTCACAAGCATCATTTAGCCAACGTGTTTTGGCGACACAGGGTCCCTTCCTCAGGGAAACATAGTGACTTAGTGAGGGTCACTATGTCGAAGGAAGGGACCCTGCATGGCTCCGAAACGTTGGCTAAATGACGATTGTGATATGTTAATTCAATAAATAATCAAACAAATTCCAAGCATTTGGCTGAGTGCTGGTGATCCTTGTCTTCCACAGCCAGGTTAAGGTGATTTTAATGGCCATCATGTACACATCCCCCATTGCAGGTAGTAAAATGTAATAGAGTAGGCAGTTGGCATGGGAAAAGGAAAGTAATAAATATAACTGAGGGTATAAAGAATAAGCCACATGTGTAAGGGTAACATCAGCATTACAACCAATACTTAAAATATTTACCTTTTAAGTATTAAATAATATATTCCTTCTCCTTCTTTGATTCATCTATGACTGCTGCATCCTAACACGCCTTTTCTTTACATGCAGTTCTACCAAGGTTCTTTGTCACCATCGAACCTGAACGCAACTTTATCAGCTACGACACTTTCAAGGATTTTGCTGTCACAGTAAAAGCAAAGTAGGTAGTGACATTCTAACATTTTTTTATATTTTCAGGCTATCAAGAAAATAGCTGCACTGCAAGCAACCAGATTCCATGTTTTATTTTCTCAATTCAAGCTGGAGGAGGAAATCTGTAAATTGATTGCACCAGTACAAACTATTTCCTTACTCCAAATCAGGCAAAATATATGCTATAGTATATGAGCACTGCCATCACCAAATCTATTGCAGCATGAGGTTCAGTGAAATATTGTCATTTCCTGACACTGTGAGGTCCCCAATGTGCTTGACGCTGGTGTGTATGCTAACATAGGAATGTGCTTTTTTACAAAAAGGCTAACAAAAGATTGTAATAAAAAAGAAACATGAGCTATATTACAGCAGATTATATCCTTTTTTGTTCAGTCTAATAAGATTATCCTTCATTGAGCAATTCCTGCAACTTTTTTTTTTACTTGCCATTTTTTACTTGTCATTTTACTACAAAAAGTGAAGAATAACAGATTAAAAACAGAATGAAAGACAGCAGTAAAAAAAAAAAACTAACAGGGGTTTTTGCTTTTCAACTTTCGTTTCAACTAAGAAATTTTTTTGGAATAGATATACACTTTAAAGTAACTATGGACATTAAAGTATTTACTTATTTTTTATGATGCAGTAAATATGCTTTAAAACAAGCCTTCTCCAAGCTCTGTAGCTGCAGGCATTATACATCCTAATCCTCAACATTCACAGTTGAAGTTGTTCTCTTAGCAGCTCAGCTCCCCCTCCCCGAGAACCTGATCTTTATATTCCGGATTTGAAGGCTGTTAGGCTGCTGAGTCACTTCTGGGAAGAGAAAAGGGTTATTGTGAAATTTGAGGAGGAATCACTCCACATTGCCTACAGCTTTAGAGGTCATTGAGGGCTTGTTTTATAGCTGTTTTACTGCTATTTAATAATATGTAAATACTTGGATGACTATAGCTTGAACAAAGGTTTACTTTATATACTGAATTAAGAGAGATCAATGTGCTTTTACTTCTTGCCTTTTTTTCTCACATTCACATCAGATCTTTCTTTCTCGTCATTTTACAGATATTACTATGGCAGAATAGTGGAGAAAGGCAAAGCCTTCATTCGCTATGGATTAATTGCAAATGGGGAGAAGAAGATGATGGCAAAATCAATAGAGGTGTTGCAGGTAAAAGACACAGTCATTGCTGACCTTCCAGACATGAACTATGTTATCTATAGTCCAGTATTACAGCAGTTAAAGTGCTGGAGGTATATAATTTTTCATAATATGCGATAACACACTTCAGGCTTATGTATTAAACTGTGATAATGCTTACCACTTACTTCCTGAATGATACAGTAATTTTAATAGCACTCATAAGCAATTTTTCTTTTGTTTAATCCTCTGACGATTATATTATTTCTGGAACCACATAAAAGCGCCTAATCCTAATTGTTTTCACTCACAGATAATCAATGGGGAGGCCGAATTCCATTTTAACAGTGAGCGCTCGGTGGCAGACCTGCAGTACTCCTCTCTGGAAGAACTGGATGGGGCTTACCTGTACATAACAGCAACAGTGGAGGAAGAGGAAGGTAATCAATTGTAATGTCATCTGTACTGAGAAGAGTGCAGAACACCAACAACAGACCATGGCTTTCTTCCCTGTAGTATGACCGCTGAGCACTCTTAAATTTTCTCAGTTCTGTTTAGTTCAATTTTTCCACACACTTTTCATATTTTACTGATTGCCATGGATCATGTATATGGTCATGGTGTACATATCATTTGTACACCAGGCAATCTAATCCGTACAACGCAAAATCTCTCCTGGAATGACAGAGAAGCAATTTGTACTGGACAAAATACATCTTTGCAGCTGTGGAGAGCTGAAGTCAGCAGCATGTAGGGGGTCCTATGTAGGATTAGTGTACATGCTAGTGTACTAACAGTACAGGTGACTCCCTTAATGGGTACTCCTAATTTAACCATAAATAAGTCCAGCTCTCTCTTGAGCACCTGTACGTCAAAAAGGACTCAGAGTTTCATGTTATAATTCACTTTAATAATGTCCCTTTTCTTGGGCTGTGCTTCTTCTGTCAGTGTTAGGTGGGCAGGTTAAGCTTGATATTACAGGTACTCAGGGACCTTGCACACCTTAAAAGGAAGCCGGTCCTGAAAGAAACTTGGAGGCTGCCATTGCTGACTTCTAGTTCTGCAAATGTTGTTCCTTGCTTTGACTGTCATTCTGACCCACTAACTTTAACAGACCCGGAACAGGTATGCAGAGAAAAATGCATGACTTTACTCTGACTTCTGCATGCATGTTGAAGCCAGTGAGTTAGTGTAGAAGCCAGAGAGATGGGATTTTCAGAAAGCGATTAGCAATGGCAGCATCCACTTGTTATTTGCTTCTCTTTGGTATTTTAAACTTACAATTGACTGTGTTCTGTGTATCTGGTTGACAAGTGCAAATACATACTTGTTGATCCTGCCTGAAATCCAGTAAGCTTGTAACTCCCTGTGTTTTCTGCCTGAGATGCACTGTTTTTGTTGGAACTTCTTGCAAAGCATCACAGAAAAACACAAGCACACAGTCTGATATGCATGCTGCACATGGCTTGAAAACAGGAAGGAAGCCACAGCTATATTTTCTACCTTATTACAATACAACAGAGTATACGATAGATACTGTATAACAGAACGTATAAACACTGCCATCTAGTGACCAAAATTGTATACTGCAGTAGTTATTGCTATAAACACAGTAATGTGTATTCTAACAGTTTTTAGTTAGCATTACTATTCGCCCTACCCAATTCCCTCTCTAGATTGCAGAGCACCCTCTTCCTATGTTTTGGAGCCAAGAAGAGGAGAGATGTTCTGTATTCCTAACAGATTTCATGTAGTCGTGTGACATTGCTGCACCTCCCTAGATACAGTACAGTGAATGAGTGTTGTCAACTTAGGACAGAAAGTGTGTTAGTGGTAGGATCAACAGGTGAAAATAAAAGAAAAATAGCCTGAAAATATAACAGGTAAGCTATAAGACCCCGTTCACACTGAACGGTTTATCGCGCCATTTCCGCCGTGAAATCGCGCATTTTTCCACGCGATATCGCTCTATGTAGCTTGACCAATGCATTGCAATGGAGCTGTTTACATCTCACAGCTCAATGTCGCCTGTAGCTCGTCGCTCAAGCTTATTACTCGTACATGACCCTTTTTTCTGCGGATGGCGTGTGATCCGGCCCCAATAGACTCAATCGGCGATATTGCGTGACATCGCGCTACAGAAGGGTCACTTTTGCACAGCAATATGGAAGGAAAGAATGATGTCACATCAAGACCGCTGTTGATTGGAGACAGTCCAATGTAGCTTCGACGAAGTCACTCCCCAAAGTCGCACTACGTAGCGCGACAAAATGTGCATTGTCGCGCAATATAGCTCAATGCTGCTAAGCACGAAATCGCGCGGAAATACGCGTGATTCTCCATGTCGCTCAGTGTGAATGGAGTCTTATATATAACACATTTCTTCTTGGATATAGATACAATTTACATTACAATACAAATGCATTTCTCTTATTTGCTCTTGTATGGCCTGGTAAATATATCTATAAAAGTGTTTTGTTATATCCGTTCAATAAGAGCAAAGAATCCTGCCAGAAATCCAGTGCTGTCCTGTGCACTCTGCAATCTCAAGCAGTGTTATCAATCCTGTCCAGTTACCCCATACTGGTCATTATGGAGAAGATGCAAGAGGAATGTGTTCTATAGTTCTAGGGTGACAGTGCTGCTTCTCCACAGATACAGTACAGTGAGTGAGCATTGTCACCCTATGACAGGAAGTGTGTTACTTCCAGGATCACAGGTAAAAATAAAGGAAGAAAAAAAAAAAGGAAACTAATGCAGTTAGCACATCTAAGGACTGGTAAGCTGCAATATACTACATTATTGTTCTTCAATTTAGAGACACTTTAAGCTTCTTTATGCAAAAAGACATCCGGTATATATTTGCTAGTTACTGGTTTGTCTGCTCTCACAAACCAGTCATTTATCAATGGTGGTGACAGTTATGGTGTTACAATATCTCATGCTGAAAACATAGCAAAGCATAAATTACCATAATATTTAATGCCTCCGCCAGGTTCCCAGTCTGAAGAGAGTGAGAACTCCAATGTTAAATATATTTTAACGCCATACAGGCTGACCCTGATAGCAACACCTTTGTTTGTGAAACCAACACTGCCCTATCATATAAAGGTGAGTGTACAAAACGTCTCACTGTTTAAAAATCATCAAAAATATTAATACATTGATATCATTTCTTCAGAGCAAACACTGCTTGGAGCCTTTAAAGGGAACCTGTCAGTTTAATGAAGCAAACAGCTGTGTGATTGATTTATTTTACTGTAAATGTATCTAACATTCATTGAATTGTGATTGTTAGGTTGGTTGAAATGTATTGGAAATCCAGCACACAGACAGAATTTATAGAGAAACATACGGTGTGAGTAAAAATGTACCTCTGTGCAGAGAACGGTTTGCTCTGTATGCAGTAGAGAGGTTCCCCCATAGAAAACATAGTTAGTGTGTGGACACTATGATGTAGAAAGCTAGTTTTTATAGTCTGGAGTAGCTGTAACATCATGAATTGAAGAATTGGTTGGTTCTGTATGGAGTAGAGTAGTGTGACACCATAGAGTAGTCGTGTGTTATGGGAGTGGAAAGACAGTACACCACAGGGTCCAAAGATTGGTTCTGTATGGAGTCAAGAAATTGCACTGTAAGGAGTGGAGTTAGAGTGTGGGTTTCACAGAGAAAAGTCTTTGTTGGTACTGTATAGCACAGACCTGGCATAGTTTAAATAGTTTTATTATTGTGAGTAGAGAGATGGTCTTTAATGAGGTAAAGAGGCAGTTTTTTCTGTATGCAGTAAATAGGTGTTACAAAAGATTGAGGAGTTGTGGATTGTGGATTGTGCACGGACACCATGGAGTAAAGTGTTAGTTAAAATGATAAGTTGTGCAGGGCTGGGATAGTTCCGAGCACAGTCACTATTGCATGGAGTGGAGAGATGGGACTTCATGGGGTATAGAGGTGGTTGCTTTAGTATGATATGGACAGTTGGTATCTTAAGGCAGGAATTTATCATATGGACCATATGGTGTTAGTTGGTACCGTATGGAATACACAGTTGTGGAATAGAGAAAGATGGGACATCATGGGCTATAGAGATGGTTGGTTTCATATGGCATACACAGTTGGTATTGCAGGGAGTGAAATTACCATATGGACACCATTGAGCAGAGTGTTAATTGGTACTGTATGGAATACACAGTTATGGAATAGAGAGAGATGGGAGATCATGGGCTATAGAGTTAAGTTGGTTCTATGTGAAGTAGAGAGGTGGCACAAACCAAAGAAAAAACATTAAGTATAGTGTTAATTAATACTGTATGGTATAGAAAGTTGCCATAGTTTAGAGTAGAGTTATTATTGTGTGGATAGGGAGAGATGGGACATCATGAGGTATAGAGGTGTTTGGTTCTGTGTGAAGTAGAGAGGTGGCACCATAGAGAATATAATTACCATATGGACACCCTGGAGTAGTGTTTGTGGGTACTGTATGGTGTACAGTTGGCATAGTTAAATGCAGAGTTATTATTGTGTGGAATAAAGCATTAGAACGAAATAGAGTGTAGATCTGATTGGTTCTATATGATGTGGACAGTTGGTATGGTAGGAAGTAGGTCCTGCTCTTGCTGGGGACCTCAGGCAGCCTGCTTGGGACCCAACGGCGGCTGTCTTTTACAGCGACGGTCTGGTACCTCATCCTCTTTCTCCTTATTCACGCCACCCGCACCCGAGAGACGCCTCACAAAGCCCAGGTGACCCGCCACACACAGCCCTGGTGACTCACCGCACACAGCCCAGGTGACCCGCTGCACACAGTCCTGATGACCCACTGCACACTGCTCAGATGACCCGCCGCACACAGCCCACATACAGCACTTGTGACACCACACACAGCCCTAGTGACTGGCCACACATAGCCTTGGTGACACTGCACGCGGCCCAGGTGAGAGGCCGTACACAGCCCTGGTGACAAGCCACAAATAGCCCAGGTGAGACTCCGTCCACAGCCCTTGTGAGACCTCAGAGCCCTGGTGACCCGCCGCACACAGCCCTGGTGAGACCATACAGCCCTGGTGACACGCTGCACACAGCCCTGATGACCCACACAAGGCCCTGGTGAGGCCGCACAGCCATGGTGCACAGCACAGCCATGGTGAGGACACACTCAGCCTTGGTAAAACCGCACACACAGCCCTAAAGACCCTGCACACCCTCCTAAGACCCCCCACAGTCCTGGTGTGACCGCGCACAGCCCTGGTGAGACCGTGCACAGCCCTGGTGAGACTGCACACAGCCCTGGTGAGAACAGACACAGCCCTGGTCAGACCCCACATAGCCCTGGTGAGCAACACAGAGTATGTAGCTTCATATGTAGTATTCTGCATTGTTGTATAATGTATTGCTGGGATTTGTAGTCATCTCTAGCTAGTGGTATTCTGTACTGTTGTATAATGGATTGCTGGGATTTGTAGTCCTCTATCACTGATGGTATTCTGCATTGTTGTATAATGTATTGCTGGGATTTGTAGTCCTCTATAGCTGGTAGTATTATTCTGCATTTTTGTATAATGTCTTGCTGAGATTTGTAGCCCCTCGACAGCTTGGAGTCAGTGGCAGAACTACCAGGGTCGCAGCATTTGCAGCTGTGACAGGGCCCTTGCGCTTTATCACTGTCCTAAAACCATTAATCTGTATTGTTTGGAAGATTTGTGCAGGATTACTTATATGGTATTGCTGTATAAACTTGTAACAGTATGATTAGAAAGTTGGAACTTCCTGGTGTATAGAGTTGTAAGATTATGTCACAAACCATTTTTACTCAACTCCAGTCATCAAGGAACCCAATCAATGCATTTTTCTCAGGTATCTTCTCTCTTATTAAATTCAAGCATGAGATAATTACTGCAGTTCTCTACACATTTACTAATTATTGAACACAAAATATGGTTCTGTGCCACCAAGGGGAACAGGACACCACACCCCTAATTATATTGAAGCAAAAAACAGAGAAAGTGGGGCTTTTAAGGTGTCACTCTAAGCATGGAGAACATATAGTTCTTACGCATATAACTCTTAGAAATTAATTTTTATTTTGCTTAATAAATACTGATAAAAAAGGGCCAATGTATAAGCCCATTGGTTTCACATCCACATCAATTTCCTAAACATAGTACAATCTAAAATCACCATAGGCATATAGCCTCCCTGGACCACACGGCCACATTCTAGGCATCAGCAGGTAGTCACCATTTATAATATTAATACATAATTGTTGAGTTCATTGTATATTTGTCAAACACATGTCAATATGTCTTGCATCAATGCACCGTGGGTCCAGACTTCGACGCGTTTCGCTAAAAAGCTTCCTCATGAAGATAGGATGCTGCCTGTAATATTTAAATATCATGGATGTAACCACATGTAACTATCCTAAGAGTTTAACAAAAACAATTGCATCACATGGTGAACATGTAACAAACATCAAAGAATGCATAACCTTTTTGTCAGGGCCTTAGCGGTGAATCAATCCACATCTCCAATGGGACAAGATCCATCGCACAGAGGACATGGGGAAAGAGGGATGCACAGGAGTCACGAAGACGAGAGGCTAAATTCCGTTCATCCATACTGCAAAATTTATAATCGGATATTAAAGTATCTATATATATCGTTGGGGCTATTCATGTGTAATTCACATTATACGTACATATGAGCACTGCCTAAAACAGAAAGTAGTATCCCCTCAACACATATTCCCCCATCTATACAAAGAGGGGGACAAAAGAGAAAGGGGATAATTCTCTACCAATCTGTCTGGCTTTATCCACTCAGTTTCTCGGTTTGGAGCCTAGATCAACATCTAGTACTAACATGATAGTCCCCACATCTAAACTTACATTGAATTGGATTAATTTGCACAGATCCTGGACTGCCTTTCCCGCCGTTCCCCCCTACATCCATTCAGCCGCATCACATCACACTGCCTAATATACCGGCGTGTGACGTCAGCGGCCAGAGTGGGCTAATGGTCAGCACCTGTGTCCGCTTGCGCGGCACATTGAAACAGGAGTTTTCCCGTCCTTCTGACAGGTCCCCTCCCGTCCCGGCTCGTCATGCCTATGGGGCAGCAGCAGACACTTAGGTGCCGCCCACCTCACTTCCACTCGACGCCAGACTCAAAAAGAGTCCGCTGCTCGAGTAGAAGGGCAGAGTTGTTAACCGAGCCAGAGGGACCATCACCCCCCTCGAGGCTCCAGCCCCGAGGGGGTCAGGGTCCGTGTGCAGACCATCCCCCCTCAGAAGATGTCAAAAGGAGAGGGCCAGCCCAATCAGGTCAACAGTGTGAGTAGGACCATCCCCCAGTGGAGGCATAGACGATCCGCCGCTAAACCCTTTAATGTATAGTCTTTGTTTTGAGTATAGTATCAGTAATTGTAATAATTTCTTATAATAATGTATCCCTAATCTTGAAACATAAAAGTAAAAAGAAGAAAGAAGAAAGAAAAAAAAGAAAAAAAAAAGAAAAAATGGCACACTGTAACCACATCAATATAGTATCAGATCATCAATATCAAGTATCAGACCATCATATATGCAGCCTTAATTGGTCATATTGACCAGACCGTATTAGAAGTTTGTTTTGTGTATATATTCTTAATTCTACTTTGATGAATGAAATAAAGAATAATTGTATGAATAATTCATATGGAGATAATGAATAACACTAATGGTAAAGTGACCGAGTGCTTGTTATGTAAATATATCATTGTGGAGCCATGTGTCGCTAAACCTTAATCCCACTGGCTCAAAACCACCCCAAGGGTGAGTGTGAGGTGCTAATCATAAAGGGAGCCAATTGGCATTGCTGCCTGGCATAATAACCCCCTAATCTAGTTGTGTCCATCCACAAATCAATTTATAAAATCAAAATCAAACCCCCATCTCTGCCCCAAATATATAATTCTTAAAACAATCCCA